GAGCTAGGGTTTTCGTGTTGGGTGTATGAAAAGACAGTTCTATCCTCAAGTTGATATTCATGGCCCAAAGTCTTTATGGACAGTTAAATGGGCTTAAGATCCACAATGACTACAATCGAAAGCCTTAATGTTTAGCGAACTTACACAAATAGCCCTAAATTTCTCTATTGGTTGAAACCAAGTGATTTCTTTTTATTTATTTTTTTAAGCCAAACGGATATGTATATTTGATTTCTTGAACCAAAATAATAACATAAATGAAGGGTGGGTATTCACCAACGAAGACAGGTCTTGGAAATATAAAGTTGAACTATACCTTTAGTCCAAAACTATGAACCATACATTTAGCATGATCTGTAATTCGATCCTGAATTCATTCCTGGTCCGAAGGGTTTAGATCCTTTCCAATTCTAAGCGATTCCATCAAGTTTAATCCAATCCAAACAACGGCATTACAATGATGTTGAAGCCGAACTCCATTCGAGCATCTTGTCCACTTGAAGTACGAGAGAAAATAAAGCAATAAGAAAACTTCAATTTCAATACTAATAAGCAATGAGCCACTTTCAACTTCTGATGGCTTCAAGAGCTTGAATAGCTAAATAGTTGAATATTATTAACTAAAGCAATAATAATGGGAAATACACATTTTCCTTAGCAGGTATTTTGCATGCAATACATCAACCCAGGCCAAAAATAAAAAGTGATCACCTGCTTCTCAATTCCTCAATGTTGGTTTCTTCAACCACAAGAAAAATTATAGCAAATAAACAACAAAATAAATTAAACTGTATTTTATATTTTTAGGTTAATAATACTGGTCTTAACTAATAGTGATAGGTGTGTTTTACATCCTTATCTAGGTCCTAAAACGATGTATTGAGTGAAATTCTATTCACTTAAGGTGCGTTTGATTGCAAAGGTGGAAAATAGGTGGAAAGAAAATGTTTTACAGGGAAAGATTTGTCTAGAAAATATTTTGAAGGGAAAATGATTTCAAATATGTTTGATTGGTCTAATTTCCACCCGAAAAATTTTTAAATTTTCTATTCGTTTGGCTTTATTTTACATGAAAATTGTTCATTAAAGTGATAATTTTTCCACACTTGGTTATAAAATTTGTTTCCATCGCCAAAAAGTAAAAAAAAAATGTTTCCTAAACAATTTTTTCATCAAAGTTTAGTGTTCGATTGGCTTTCGTTTGCATCAAAATTGTCCATGAAAGTGAAATTTTTTTTTACACTTGGTTATGAAATTTGTTTCTATTGCTAAAAACAAAAAAAGAAAAAAAAGAAAAAAAAAAGTCAGACATCCCAGAAATTGTTTTCCCATCTAAAAGGTGGGAAAACCTTTGCCTTTCACGCCTGGAAGTAGGCGCGTAGGTGGGAAAAAAAAAAGTGGTAATTTCCTTGGCAAAAAGTGACCATCAAACAACACATTTGCAAAGAGAAGGAAAAAATATTCCATTTTCCATGGAAAATGGGTGTTATCAAACACACCCTTAGTGTTTTTTTATAGGTTAAATCACCAATTTGAAGATAAATCGAGAAATAGGAACTTATTTGGAGCTTAATTGGGATTCGATGAAATTAAAGAGCCACCAAGAAGTTCGGACTTGATTAGAAGCTCTGAAATTGTCAATTGGATGAAATCACGAGTTTTGGGGACCAATTCAACTTTTTGAGAAATTGGGGACCAACTTGAACATTCTCAATACTTTGGAGGGTTAAATTTGAAAGTGATAGTGCCTGATTTGGATTAATTAAAGTTGAAGGGACCACAAGTGTACAAAAACTTGGGTTGAAGGAGTAAACCTATACGAAAACTGGGAACAAGGGAAGAAGATGAGCAGGTTTGGAAAATGAAGGACTGCAACCTCATAATGTTTGATTTCGACTAAACCCTTTGTGACTGATATTATGATGAAACCTTCGTTGCTTACTTTTAATTGCTTATAGATACCTAGATACAATTTAAAACAAATTCATAAAAATCCATCGTGTTTTCTTGAATTAAAATTAGTAGTTTATTAAAGTAGAGTACTTAAATAATCAGTTCTCTTGTGAACCATATTTTACTCATCATTTGTTACGCTTCATTCACTTACGAAAAAAAATCGACAACAAATAGAAATACTAGTACCCCCAAAAGAATCTAGCTGCTTAGCTCTTATAGAATAATTTAATTAAATGGGTCCAACTTGTTGACACATTTTAAAGAAAGGCCTCACTTTTACAAAATTCCTATAACTAGCCTTATATTTCATAAAAACCCTAAAATACCCAAATCCTTCCTCCAGATTTCCCCCTACGTCCCTGTCCTGCCCCGAGTTTTGCTCTTCAGCTCCTTGAATTTGACTTGAAAGCCTTCGACAAACAGAAACATAGTCGATTTTGATTTGATTCGATTAGAGTATTCTAACTAGTTTATCAATTTTAATATGAGAACATCTGAAAAAAGTTTACATAAAAATGAGGCATTAAACGCCTCGTTTTCTAAGATTCATTTTTTCTCAAACTAATTTTAATTACCGATTTCATCAACTTTTATCAAAATCTACAAAAAAATATATGATTTTTAGTTAAACCGAACGGGGGCTAAAACTAGAAATTAAGGCCAATGGGCAATAGAAGCATCTTTTTCTCCAAAATAAATGTAAATGATATGGTCTAATTCGAATATTAACAAAATTAAAGAAAAGTCTCCACAATTGAGTTTTGGAATTAGGATAATTGATCAAATTACTCATTTGTATATTAACATTTTAATACTTATATTTTATTTTGGAGGTTAGAATTGTAATTTAAATTTAAAAGTTTTATTTTTTAATTTTTATTTGTACTTCCGATTTTGTTTCAAATCGCCATTAAAAATTTTGCAACCTAAACAAAATTGTTCTAGAACGTTTGACTTTATTTCCAATCAATTTCGCCACATGGCACTAAACTGACAATTTCAAAAAATTAATTTCGATTTGACGATTTTTGCTTACAACCTTAGTGGTGATCCCGCTGTTATGTATACTAGCGTTAAGTATAGTGGATTCTTTCACAGACTTCGCCACTGTTCTACTTCCCATCTTCCATGTTTGTGAAATGTCAACGAACAACCCAAAATAATCACAATAACTAAATTAATAAAAAACTTGTAAGGATTTATTGAGGCTTATTCTGCCTTAATAATCGTCACTTCGTAAATTGTAAATATTTTATAATACATGTATTGGAGACAAGTAACTTGTTTTCCATACGCAAAAATACGAAAACAAAAAACAATTCTTATCGCATTCTTGATATAATCAATAAGAGGTAACTAAATTTTATTGAAGAAAAAGTACGTGATAAAATTTGCTAGTCTTCTTATTCGATCACATTTAAAAAATATCATGTGTGGGCCCACTTTGTATGAAATTGAGCATCTCAAACACGAGTCCACTAACTTTATAGAATTGTTTCTTTAATGATCGAATGAGTCCATGATATGAAGTATGAACTGTGCTATACTTTATTAAGGAAATCATGTCGTGTAGGATATTTACAATTACTAAAATTGAAGCACATAATATTAAATTAAATATTGTTAATTAAAAAGTCATTATTCGACAATACTGTTTAATACAGTGGTGATTTAATCCTCACACGCCACGAAATCTCGGCTTTTTGTCAAGTGTCAACAAAAGCATATTCGAGACTCATTGGAAAACAATTACATCAATAATGTGCGTATGCTACAAGATCGAGACTCAATTATTGAGTCCAAATTATGCCCCTAGTTGTTTCACACGTAAATCGTGGCATGTTAATAAGGCATCGATGGGTAGCAAGGGATATAGATGGAAATTTTTGGAATCAATTTTATTGACAATTTTCTGCATGACATGTCGCCATAACCTCAGTTTGATCTAAATAGTATTATCTAATACCAATAATATTAGGTGCTTGTTTGGTAAATATTAAAATTCAATTAAAATTAAAAAATATAGTCGTTATTAGGTCCCACTCGTCTAATAAAAATCAATAATAATGGCTAATTTTTCAATTTTAATCCGATTTTAATCTCTATCGAGCACGCTCTAGATGATTAGTCTATGTGTCATTATGTTATACGTTGAATTAAATGTGAAATTATGAGTTCAACCTATCATATAATATAATATAAATTGATGTTGTAATTACTAAATAGCATTGTGGTACCCAACCATCTCGTTAGGACATCTTATTGGTCCGATACAGATCATAATTTTCCATTAGTGGTTGTTAAGAGGTACTCTCTAATTGGTCCACGTATTTATGACTCTTTTAGTGGATAAAGTCCATACTATCCAATTTAATATTTTATTATTGACTAAAATTATTTATACAATAGTGAAATTCCTTTTAGTAGTTGAGAAATGAAGTTCAATCCACCACGATCCATCATGTCATTCTCTAACAGTTAAGGGGATGTTCTCTTTGTATTTTGAATTCATTTTGAATTTTGTGTTTTGAGTATCCATTTTAAGATTATTGAAAATGTGTTCTTTTTGACATTTTGAAAAATTATTTTGAAAACACCCAAAATGCATTTTGAAAAATTTAACTTGATTATAATTGAAAACACACAAAACAACAAATTTGTCATTTTGAGTTTTCTTTGTAAATTTTTAACTTATTTTCAAAAACGCGTTTTCACTGTTTTGGAAAATCGAAAATAGAAAAAGACTTGAAAATGGTAAAGAAAACGGGCCCTAAGTAATTTTGGATAGAGTTATATAGCCCCGTTTGAGCCCATTGTCTACTCTACAAATTCATTTTCTAATTTCAATTTCAACCACACATTCTTTCATTTTCAATCATATATTCTTTCAATAAAATAATTTTATACTTAAATCCAAAATAAGTTTACACACAAACACAATGTACCAAATACATAGTAATAGTTCTATGGATTAGTTTTGTATTTTACATATAATAGAGGGTCGGTACTAACCGTGAATTAAGAACAATGTGTTACACACATGTCCGAATTATTACCCTAATCTCTTTATATAAGTGCATTAAAAAATTAAGAGTTAAAAGGAAGGGTTCACGATAAACACGAGAGGGTGTCCACTTTGAATCCTCATCCAATTCCAATTAAATATAGTGTAAACAAAATAGTACAAAAGTAAAAGTTAAAATTAAAATTAAACCAAGCTTATCCATTACCCACCCCCACTATATAAACCCATGCAATCAAAGAATAATAGATCCCCCTAGTAGCATTTTAATATTTCAAACTTCTCCAAAAAATTTCTCTGCAAAAATTTCAATGGCGTCAAGGAAGAGCTACCGCTTTCTTGGAGCTGGAGAGAAAATGCAGTCGATCGAATTCAATGAACAATTCGAATTCGACGAATCTCAAATTTGGAGTACCAATGAAATCACCACTAACCCATCTGAAACTAAAAAAGCGATTTCAAATCCGATTCCCATCGGAAAACAACACAGAAAAATTACAACCGAAATTGAATCGAAATCTCTGCCGTTGAACGTACCGGACTGGTCCAAAATCCTTCGAGATGAGTACAAAACTCGCAGCAGAAATTGGGAGGACGACATCGAAGAAGATGAAGTTGAGAACACAAATGACAGAATGCCCCCTCATGAGTATTTAGCCAGGACTAGAGTCGCTTCGTTCTCGGTGCACGAAGGGATAGGAAGGACATTAAAGGGGAGAGACTTGAGTCGGGTTAGGAATGCTATATGGAAGCAAACAGGATTTGAAGATTAATTAATCAATTATTTCTGATAATTATAGTCGCAAATGGTGTAGATCCTCTGGTTTTGGGTGCTACTTTTGATCGACTTTGATTCAGAGGATCATGATTTACGGATGTAATGTAATTCTAACTTTTAAGTTTTAAATATTCAGGAAACAAAACTTATTTGTCATGTTCTTTTCTATATGGCAAATTTTGCTGCGAACTTTGTGCTTGGATTTGAATTTTGATATATTGCTCATCTTCTCGTGTTTAGCGTCAAATGTTCGATCCTTACTGTTCAACAGTGTGTTTCGTAAATATTAAAATCGGATTAAAATTAAAAAATTAGCCGTTATTATTGACTTTTATTAAACGAGTGAGACCCAATAACGGCTATATTTTTAATTTTAATTGGATTTTAATTCCTCTCAAACAAGCTCCAAGTTTACTGTTCAACTTGAGTACAGATAATTAATGCTATTTATCTTTGGGTCCCATAAGTACTATCCATATACTTATCGCTCAATTCTATCTCTCTATAAATGAAATCATTTGTGAACACTTTCCAAAGAGACCTTTAATTTTCTGATTGGGAAAGCCTTACTATAGATAATGTTTTTAGAATTGACATATTTTGCTTTTTCATTAAAGTCATTTTCAAGAATGGTAGATTGTAGTAGAAAACGCGTGGGGTGGGTGGTGGGATGCAGACTTTTGGGTTTATTCGATTGGTAGGTAAGAAAAGAATGGGCAAACTGAAGGAGGACAACCTTTGAAGTGAAGCGCACATTATTGTTTAGTTTGGTTTTAGGAAAGGGAACCTTCCACTATTAGGCACTGATCTATTTCCTATTACCAAGTTGATCATTAATCTTTGAGGTTGAGGCCCTGTTTGAGCCAAATTATTGTAGAATGAGAATGAAAAATAGTCGTTATTGGGGTCTACATAAAAGATAGAAAATTTGAATTTAAATATTGATGTGATGGATAACGGTCATATTTTTCATTTTAATGAAATAATATAGATCAAACGAGGGCTAAGTAAGTTATTCTCGATATTTTGAGGCGGATGTAGGGGTGCCTGGCTCAATCCCCTAGCCAATTTCATTTTGAAGGGTAAAAAATATTTTTTTATGTGTAATTTTTTTTTTTTTGACATATTAGCTCGATTTGAATTTTTTTAGTTTGATCCTAAATTTGTCCATAACTCGATTTAGCCTCCGTTTAACACCCATTCTCACATCCTAAAAATGCATTTTCATGTCACATCGCATGGGTCTGCTACAGTGTTTTTTATTTTCTTGGTCAAATGAATTTTGTGGAAAATGACATCTATGCCCTCATCTCATGAAATTCAAACTGTTGCCAAAAATAGAATGAAACACGTGTTCGCATTGATGGAGGGGTAAAATGCAGAAATGTGTGCTTGCATTGTCAAATTGTTCACATTGTTTTATCATAGAAGTTACTTCTCCAACGTTCCTTTTTTTTTCTACAAATGAGGAAAAAATGTGCCACAAACAGGAGTTTAATGTAGTGGCAAATGGCCGGACTGAAATTATAGAGTAGCATGGACCCTGTCTTCATCGCCCAATACTGCACGAGCTAATGGTTGCAGTATCAATTGGTTTTATAAACGTCAAATACTAAAAGGCCTTGTATGAGTCCCATTTTTATAAGAAAATGGGTTTTGAAATAATAATTTTTCAGAGAGCGTGTGATTAAAAAAAATATATATTCGATTTACGTTGTAAAATTATTTTATGGAGGAATGTGTGGTTGAAAATGAGTTTTGAAAAGTTTTTGTAAATATAGGGGCCAAACATGGCTAAAAAATGTTGTAAGATAATTATTATACTTGAATGATGAGCATATCTATGTAGCTTTAATTTTTATTTATAAATATAGAGTATTGTGTTTTAAATTTTAATAAAATAAACATAAGTCTATCGATCCTATCTATTATATTCTCCTCTCTATAATTGATAACGTAGTATCGGCAAGATAATTTCGTAAATTAAGGGAGTGAGGTAGATTCTCGCTTCCTTTTTTGTGCGTTTATGAATAATTTTAGGGAGTCGTTATTTTCATCCACAGTAATT